GCAACCGGCGCTGTCCGAGTAGCGTTCAAAGATGACGTTGCTATCCGCCGGGACGCCAATGAGTTGACGGAGCTAGAGCACGCGACCTCGTTAGCATCATTAGAAAACCAAAATAGGATAGCAATTCTTTTTCAGCGTATTCTCAAGATATAACAAGTAAAGTGTTTAGGACAGGAATTCATGGCTGAAACAGGATAGGGAGCTTGCCAGCGGCGGTCGGCAGAAACTCCAGGGTTGTTGATGGGGGAGAGATTCAAGCTCCGACCGGAGCTAGCTAGGGTGGAGAACATCTACATACCTTCTGGGGAAGAACCCGAGCACCCAGTTCTCTCAAAGGAACCTTGAAGCGTCGAGTACTGTCATTATAGAGCACTTTGATTGTGATTAGGGTTGCAGGTCCGACTGGACTAGCCGGCTGAATGGGGGTAGCCATGGTGTAGATGGACAGAGGACGAAGGTGATGGTGAACTAGAGACAAGGCACTAGTCCCCTACGTAAGAGATGAGCAGGGATCGAAGAAAGAAGGTTGTGAGAAGCAATATGATGAAAGAAAAGGTTGAGAAATTGATGAGGATGATGGAAAGTACAATGGATGAAGTCAGATATGATGTACTAAATAGATAAAGAGGTAGGGGAAGAGGGAGGAGAGGAGAGAGATGGAGCTAGGTAATAAAGTGAGGTAAAGGTAAGGTATGGCAGAAGGCTGCCTGGGGGGGGGACTACGTAACAACCTAAGAGGTCGACTAGAGTCTAGAGATGCGGAGGAGGAAGGTCATCTGCTGCTCCCGCATTTGGCTTTCCTTGGGTGGAGGCTTTACCTTATAAGTTACAATAGTTCAAATGGAGAATGAGGCGGTGAAGCTCATATCGTTATCCTCATCATCATTGGTACTATCCCTACCTTACTACCTTAGGTACTCTGCATACTTGCAGGTAACACCGTCAGATCCCATTGGTATTATTGTTATCATCATCATCGTCATCATTACTGTATATTTATCCTTGACTACTTATTCCCCTCTCCTGGATTTATAGTTGGAATTGATCCGTTTGTCTTTTAAGGGTAACGCGGGATGCTCATTTGAAGATATCGACGCGCTTTTGTACCATGTACATACGACACCATCCCATCTCGCCAATTCGTTAGATTAGTCATAATCACTGTTTAACGCATCGGATCCTTTCTACAGCCAACGAAGACGGGAAGAAGCTGGATCACAAAGGTTGTTCTCCTTCATATTTGAATTTATAGCCCACGCCACAGCGTAAACACCATTCCTAAATGCTAGAGCGTAGCGAACGACGGAACAAACCACGGACAGCAATGTAGGTAGAAGACAGGAGCGGAATTATCAAGAGACCCATGCAGGTCAAACGTGTGGAAACAGATAAATATTTGAAGTTTTCCAGGGTCCGCCTCTCAAAAAGAATACGGAGAAAAGAAAGATGTCAACATTCCGCGAAGAAAGGATAGAACAGCACCGGGAACGGGGAAATCAATGCCACATTGCTTTCCAGATAATAAGCAGGGAAAATGCGTACAGAACATGAGAGCTTCCGGCCACAAAAAGTTGGCACCGCAATGATGAGAAGACAGTCGCTAAGGATGCAAAGGGTGGCTTATCTAATAACAATCCATATGAAAGCTCAAGGAAACGGCATCATGGAGAGTGTCATCAGACAGGAAGCATGAAGATGGCACAGTAAAATGAAACGAGGAAATGAAAAAGCCGGTTGACAATGGACGAGACTCCTATAGTCGACTTCATAAGTTTTGGGAATTATCAATAGCGTGGCATCACAGTGAGACTAAAGCGCAGGACGAGAAATGTGCGGAAGGGAAAATGTAAAACAAAGGCAGAAGTTGATAACGAAGACAATAAGATACGAATATTTTAAGGTATCGAAATGTGACGGAAGTGAAAACGTCGAATATGCCCCTTTTCGTTTTTTTATTGCGGAGCGTAGTATACACCACCCTGCGGCTGAGGATAATAGTAGGTTGTGCCTGGCGGAGTCATCATTCCACCCATGCCAATGACGCCACCAGGCCCCGGTGCAGATGGTGTGGCATAGGATGCGTTAGGCCACATCTGCGTGGCGTCGTAGAAATAAACTGTGCCACCGGCCTCATGGGCTACTGTGCCTGGTTGCGAAGCCTGCTCTGCGGATGAGGCGGTGGCTCCTGGAACCACATATGGAGCTTGCTGTCCCGGTGGCGGATACGGCACGAGGGAGGCTCCCGGCATGCCGCCTGCGTTGTACGGCGGGAATTCTGTTCCAGAAACTGGATAGTAAACTGTACCGGGGGGGTAAGCAGTGGGATAAAATGGCTGGGCTTGCTGGAAGCCGTATGGCTGGAAAGGCTGAGCATGGATTGCTCGCTCGGGTATGTGAGATGAAGGCGTCCCAGTTGCATGGGCAGATTGACCATCGGCACCATAGCCGGGGCCATTGATAGGCATCGGCACCTGGTGTTGGAATGGTTGTTCCTGCTGTGGCTGGGGGGCGTTGAAGGAGAAGCTTGCAGGAGTCTCTATGTCGGCGACAGAAACCGCTTTCTGAGGGCGAGGCTGATGCATTGGGATGGGAGCCGGACGGCTCTCGCGGTACGAGGGTTGCTGGGGCTGAGGTTGAGTCATAGGTTGTGGCAGTGACGCGGCAACAACGGCTCCGGGACCAGCAGCAGTGGCTGCGGGTGGCACGCCGCCCAATGGCCTGGAAGGCGGAGGCAGACGAACGATTGGCTTCCCATTTTCGGTCGTAACCACGGTATGCCTGGACAATACAGAGGCAGCCGGCGAGGGATATCCATCATGTGAGGCTGGCTTGCCCATCGACGATCTCCGGCTACCGGTGACGCTTGGGGTATAGACGGAGCCTGCATAAATACTCGGGCGGCGCCCGCCATAGAATCCACCCCGGCCCCTGCCACGGTAACCCTGCTGATTGGGCCTCAGCGCTCGTGGAATAAAGATGAACGAGCGCTCTGTCGAGGGGAATATGTATCTCGGAGACTGTCCAGGGAACGATATGCGAACGGGCTTGTCTCGGCGTAACGGGGGACGATGTTGAGGGAGACGAGTGTGTTGCTTCTTTGGAACGGCAGGGAAAGGTATGGGCCGAGCCATGCCCTGCAGAAACACTACAACAGGCACATTGCCGATCAGGGTGGTGCTTGAGAAAGACCTATTCGGGGGCGTAGAACGAGGAGCCGTAGGGACAGGTTTTGGGGCAAAGCTCGACATGGATCCTGGTACAGCAGAGGGCTTGCTGACGGGTTCATCTCCTGCGACCATCTCGTGCAAATCATGCGCCCACTGCCCTTCACTAGCATCGGGTTTGGAGTGCCTTGCGAGTGGAACGATGGTTAGCTATCGGGAACACATGACAAAGAGCTGGGGTAGGCTCACCTGCGAACATTGCCATCCACGATGAGGCCGTAAGGTCTCGATTTTGATTTGTTGAACGGCCTGTGGCCATTCGAGCCAGACTCGGTGGAACGCTTATCGTGAAGGAAAAAGCGTCCTCTAGTGGGCACGAAGGCCGGATTCTCGTCCCGCTCCTTTGCATACCTTTCGTGTTCGCGGCGTTTCCGCTCCGCAAACGTCCCTCTCTTCGCTTCTGTGGGAGGTGCAGATGGTGTCCTCCCCGTCAGTGAACCAGATTCCCCCTTCATATCATCAAAGTGGATTTCCGCCACTTCATTCGTCTGATCAGACAGCGTCAATCCATTCATCATGGCCTCAGTGTCTGACACAGCGGTAGCTGTGTGTCGTTTGCCAGGAGATGAGGAGTGGCGTCGTCCAGGCCGCTGGTTGATTTCACGCACGAGACCGTTCACTTGAGGCCCGTTGGTTCTGTCCAAGTGCGGGGACGAAGAAGCCTCCTCGTCGCTCTCGTCGCTTCCCTCGCCATCAGCATCATCATCATCATCACCGGGATGACTGATGACCGAGCCCTCGCTTAACGAATCATCTTCCAATTCCCCCCCTAGGGAACCTTCATCCTCGCCTTCCTCATCTCTTCTTCTCCTCCGCCGGCTAGCACCGATGTTGCGACGACGTGAGGCCATTTTCGGTTGGCGTAGAAGATGGAAGGAAGGGATTTGATTGAAGACCGGATGCGATGTTCCTTTGTGTCACGGTGGGTTTTGAAAGGAGGACTGAGGTAAGGATGAAGGATGCACCGACCAGGAACGAAGAGCGGCGAGATGATCGGATTGCAAGGACCGGGGGGCGGGAACGATCAACAGAAGCGGCAAAAACTCGAACACGTGTATGGAGAGAGGGGAGTGAACGTAGAAAGGTCGATGGGCGGATGAGAGGAAGATGCACCTCGATAACGAGGGCGAGGATTGTGGGACGGTTGGGCAGTCGAGGGAAATGCAACAGGACGAGCACTATCAAAGTTGATCGCTTTTAGCATGAGCCATGACATCTCTCTTCGATGTCAACTATCCAAATCTGGTTAGTGCCCCCAAAACCACCTCAGCACCGAATCTAGAATTACTAGCATAAATAAACCCGACACATAGCCTTCGACGGTTAGACTGGTTAGGCATTAGGCATAAGAATAGCTAATCACAATAGGTAACTATGGCGATCAGATAAGTCAGCATTATTATCCATAGTTGATGAAGAAATTCAATTTACAATATCAGGGTTGAATGCTTACATGAAGAGCTAGCTAATGTACTGTGTAAGCTAATGGATGGATTCTAGCTCAAATGTGGTCATAGCTTGTTTATGCCTGTCATCCAGTTTAAAAGTTAGGCACTAAGTAATACGCTCATGCTAACCGCAGTATGGCTGTCTGGCATAGCACAGTACATGATTCTGTTCAGGATCAACCTAGGCAATATTTACGGCAATAATAACAGTTCTTTTAAATGACTCGCAAAAGCAAAATTGGTCGAACGTCAGTCACTACTTGACTGAAATGCTTTGGTATAGCATATGAGAAGTAGTCATTCTGCTCTGTTTCTATATTGATAAGTCTCAATCAAAAGTGATTTTCTTTCCTTGGGGTTCGACAATAGCACCGCTAAGCTTCTGCACGGTTTCTTTGGCGTATCTTGAGTATTCAGGCTTGTTGTTTCGCTTGGGCTTTTCAGGATGTGACCCTTGCGGCCTGTCTCCAGTCGACTCCTGCTCAAGAGGCCCATCTTCCACTTCAGTAATGACGGAATCATCGTTCTTCTTGCCTTCCCCATCTTTACCAAACCGCTTCTTGTATCGTGTCGTGGCATCCTCTGCGAACTCCATGCGCATTCGTCGACCAAGAAGCTGGTTCACCCAAACCCTCTGTCTGTGTTTCTTCGATTTCCTGCTCTTTGCGGACTCTTCTTCTCCGGAGCCCTCATCATCTTCCTCGTCTTCATCAACCATGACAAAGCCCTTCACCGCTGCTTCGGCGGCCGCAAGATCCTCGAACTCCACCCAAGCATAGCCCTTGCATTTTCCACTATCCTGAAACGTTGCCACATGTACATGTGTGACGGTACCGCATTGTCCAAAATGTTCCTCGATGATTTCTTTTGTAGCATCAAAGCCGAGATTGCCAACAAATATCCGTTTCGAAGGAGGTTTTGTCGCAGTTGCCGCGGAATCCTGCTCTGACTTCTTTGGTCTGCCGTCAAAACTCTTTGCATCCTTAATCAGCACACGGCGCCCAGCTAGAAGTTGCTCGCTCAACCCTACTGCCTCCTTCACAGCCTTCTCGTTGGCAAGATCGATGTAAGCGAAGCCCTTGTTCTGAGCCTTTCCAAATTTTTCCTGACCCTTCGGCAGATGTATACGGGTGATTGTAGTATCCGCAAACGTGCAATTGCTTGTGAGAAACTTGCGCAAATCATCTTTGGTCACCGAAAAGGCCAGGTTTCCAATCCAGATGCCGTAGTCTGAACGTTTTTGGGGCGCTTCGTCTTCTTGCTTTTTGCTGGGCACAGCGCCCTCTTGCTTCGTTGTAGAATCTGCTGTAGGCTCGGCAATCTTCTTTTTGGCTTTACGCAAAGCCTTTTTCGACGGAGGCTCAGGAGCGGACACATCGATTTCAAGTTCAGGAACGTCTGTGAGCTTTCGCTTTTTTTGACTACCTTCACCGAGGCCAGCCATGTCGAATTGAAATCAGGTTTGTCAATGACGCGATAATCGTTCTAAAAGAGTGGCCCACTGCAATTAATGGAATAATGAGATCGTAAAATAGCAGTTCACAATAGAAACTTGTCTTGACTGCTCAAGTCAGTCAAGCGCATTTAGCTATTGTCTTCCGTATGAATGGTGAGGATTGAAACTTTTTACGGCGGGCAAAAGCACCCGTCGACGCAACAATCTTTCCGGGACTTGGCGACAGGTGACCAGCCATCATCAACACTATCGCTCGACTTTAGAGCGCTCTTATAGCACTCGCCATTTCCTCCTCAATCCCCAATCTCTTATCCGTGTCACTGCCTCGAATACGCCTTTCCGCATCAATTTCGATTCGACATGTCACAGGAAAACGTGGATTCCCGCTCCGTGGCCGAGAGCCTGCCCGACGAATCGACCAGTGCCCCTGCGAAACAGTCATATCGTTCTTTCAAGTAGGTCGTTCAGTGCGCAGCTTTAGCCATGGATATGAGAACTAATATGGCTACCCCCTGGTGCTATAGAAAGAAGTATGCCAAACTTAAAGTCAAATTCGAGCTTGGAATGAAGGAGAGCGAGTCTCTGATCCGCGAAGAGTTGCGCATCGAAGATCTCTCAAAGAGAATCCAGGAGCAGAACGAGTAAGCAAAGATCTGCGGCTGTATAGAAAGAACAGGCTCGTTCGAGGACTGACTCTCCTGCCACAGCCAACTTCTAGAGGTTCTCCTTGAATTTAACGAAAGTTTGCACGTCCCAGCGAATCAGCGATTTGACCTCAGTGCGCCGGGAGACTCATCCTTCCTGCCGACGCCTGAACGATCGCCCATGTACGTTGACACTGCAACGGCAAAATCCATCTTGAAAGATGCCAAAGCACAGATGGCTGCTGGCAGCATGACCCCCGAAGCATATCGCACTCTGGAAGACGATATCAAACGAGGCAACGCATTCGCACCACGCATGCATTATACTGCCCTCAAAAAGGTACCCCATACGGCGGTGCCGCCTGTAAGACGAGATTCTTCTACGGACATGAGCCTGGAGGAGAAGCTCGGATATCTCACTCCGGAACACGAAACCGAGTACTACTTGAGCATGGATGCGAAGCTCGGCGACGAAGCAGCCGCTCTTGAGCTTAGTCGCATTCCTGAAAAGCCATCATTCTCTGAACGAGAAAGGGAATTAGCGCTGCGAAACCCTGTCTCCGTTTACAACTGGCTCCGGCGCAATCAACCGCATATTTTCCTACAGGACCATGAGAACGCCTCCGAGAAGTCAGGCTCTCGACCGACTAATGTGCGGGCGTCCAAAAGAGCAACCCAGCCACGCAAAGAGGAGGAGGCTTATGACGAGGACGGCGTCCTAATGGATACCGGTCCCACTCCGGGTAGCACCAAAGGCAAGCGCAAGCGCGATGACGATACAGGCTATAGACCCAAGGGTGGCAGCAGCCGTCCCAGCAAGAAAAAGAAGGACGACACGAACTCAAACACCAAACGCACATCGAAAAGGTCGTCAGGTGTGGGTGCCTGAAGACCTGGTTTCTCAGCTTCAAGCATTGATTTCCCTCCATATACTGTTATACTTCTGGTTTCCCCTTCTGACATCCAGACTTATCCGGGGTTCCTAGAGCATACTTCGTGCAGTGCGCCGCAGTGGATGTTGCCTATTGAGGACTGCCAGTACCGCGCTTTATTTCTTATGTTGATCCCGTTTGACCGGCATGGCTGTCTCTCGCAAAAAGTGTTGAATTTGACAAATTTGAGAATTGTGCATCATCGCTAGGCCATACTATCTTACTTCTTTCATTACTGTCTTATCATTCTCTTTTCTTCTTTCTTCTCATAACCGTTGACCGGCGGGGGTGTGATATGAACCATAAATGGAATGGCCTAATTAGATTCATGAATATCTACAGTAAAAATCCACCAGGGCAACTAAACGGATCTTTTATTTTCCTCTTCTCTTTATTATCAAAGTATGCCAAATGTATATGGATTTCTGTCTCAATTACGGAGTACTTCCATGAGGTATACAGGAGTTCTGATTTCTAGCTGGATATTTTCACGTGCTCTTTGCATCAAGTTTGTCCTGTTTGCTCGAACAATTCGATTGCGGAATCTTCTACTCTTGAAGTTCGAACACAACCCCCCAAAGCCAACCTCAGCTCATTACTCACTTTTATATTTGTCGGAGAACTAATACCTTTGATAATTTCTTCGCTTGGAAATGGCCATCACTATTCTACCTCCCGTTGTGGAGGACGCCAATTATCCCCATCCAGATTCAGACTCCGATTCAATGTCGATAGATTCAGACGGAGGAATTGATTTAACTTCAAGAGGAGGCTCTCGACCCAGCAAACGGCCCCGCTTGGTAGAAGGAACAAAGATTGGCGCAGGAATTGTGACACCAGGTGAAGTTGTGACGGATGATCCACAATGGATGAGGTTGGTCTTCCCGACCTTTCGGGCGCCGATATTTTGCCCATTTCCCGATTCCTTGCACAGGAGGTTCAGGATTGTTACTGACCAATTCGCAGAGGTCACGGTACCTACTCAAATCCGCTCTCGACTTCGATTATTGCCACTGTTGCTGGTACCGTACAGAAAACAAACAAACTGCTCTCCGTTCAGCCGCTGCGGGCCCGGTATATCCCAGAAATCGGTGATCTGGTTGTTGGACGGATCGTGGAGGTTCAGTCACGACGATGGAAGGTCGATATCGCCGCCCCTCTCCTCGCACAGCTACCCCTCTCAGCGATCAATCTTCCTGGCGGTATCCTGCGTAGGCGGACCAGCGCAGATGAACTGCAGATTCGAACCTTTTTCAGTGAAGGGGATTTGGTGGTTGCAGAGGTTCAGAGCGTGCATTCAGACGGCTCAGCATCATTGCACACGCGATCACTGAAATACGGCAAGCTTAGAAATGGCGTGTTCCTCGCTGTTGCGGGAACCGGTGGTAGCGGAGCATCAAGTTCAACAGTAAAGGGAGGCCCTGGAGCAGGAACTTCTTCTGCAGGGGCGATGGGCACTTCAGGCACAGGTGGTGTGGTTCGCGCCCGGAGACAACAGTGGACGGTCAACACAGCGAACGGAGGCGGTGAGGTAAATATTATACTTGGGGTGAATGGCTACATCTGGATCTCGAAGCACGCCGACGGCGCGGCCGCAGCATCCTCTACGACCGAGAATGTCTCCATCACCCGTATGGAGGAGATGGTGTCGAGTTCTATCTATTCCAGCCAGAACGATGAGATTCCACCGCAGACACGGCGCGAGATTGCACGCCTGGCGCAATGTATTCGCGTGCTGGTCCAAGGTGGAGTACGTGTGGACGAGGAAACCGTCATGAGAGCATACGATGCCAGTTTACAAGTCGACCTTGAAGTTGGTGACGATGAGGATGAGGACGAGCGGAGAAGAGAAGGAAGGGAGTATCTCGAGGGTGCCAAAGCTTCGGGGATCCTAGCTTTGGCGATGGAAGCACAATGAGAAGGATAATAGTGCTTTCCAGGAGCACAGGAAAGCATACATGATAGATACCCTTTCCTGAATATATCCGCATATTACGATTGCCTATGCGCAAACTACTGCGGGGGAGGTCATAGCATAGGCTCAGTAATCAAGAAACACAATCCACTATAGAATACTCACAGGCAGCGACAGCCTGCAGGATACCGTTATACCAATCTGGCCTGAAACGATCATCACTCGACACCTATTTACTCACTGTATGCACCAGAGAGAAAAGAAGCTCCGTCAATCGATAAGCGACCCCGCATCACGTGGCGATAAGGCGCTCGGCGATTGGCAAACGAAAAGGAAAATAGAAAAAGAAAAAGAGAGATACAGAAACTCTGCAGTAGGGTTTGAGGTTGAGGAAATAAAAGAAGAATAAGGATTCATTATTGGTGGAATCTCAAATAGTTCAGTTCATGTGAAAGAGCATCGAGGGGTAAGGTAAACTCGACTATCAGGGGACGAACCCGGCTGACAGGGCCCAAGCATGGGCTGGCTGTTACGTATTATTGTTCTTCCACGGCGTCCGTGTTAAAAAGAGAGGGTTTGCCATTGACGTCTTCTTCGTCATTTTCATCCTTTTTCATCGCAGGCATCAACTGAGCCTTTCAAACAGATCCTTCTCGACCCTTATTCTGCCTCAGGGTTCTTTTTCCAGTCTTATCATGTCCATCGTCTTTGTGAAAACATTCTTTCTGCCCACACTCTCCATACCCTAGTATTGAGATAATCCACTTTCTCAGCGATCATTGCGAACTTTATCCTTAACGATACTTGATTATCGATCTTGTCGTCTATACGACCTCTCAATCATCCTTATCTCTCTTCTATTTCTCCCTCTAGGAATCTCTCAACATGCCTGACCTACGCCGTCAGATCTTTGAGAGCGGCAAGACCATGTCCCGCAAGGCCGCTTCTCGCGAGGGTTCTCGCCGTCCCTCTCGCGCAGTCTCTGCCCAAAGTTCGAAACAGTCCTCTCGCAACGGCAGCAGACACCCATCCGATGAAGAGGATGAAGGTAATCTCAGTGATGAAACTGCGTATAGGTGAGATTCTTTCCCTCGCCTGTCTCTCCATATTTTTTTCCCCTAGTCCTCGACGGGCGGGATGACGTAATTGTTCATGATAATGGAAGTATCACTAACCATGCTTGGGTTTTCACAGCCTCGGTTCCCTGGATGACCTGGCTGACATCCCAGATGCTGATACAAACGCCAACTGGCCCGAAGAGCTTGAGGATGTCGTTGAAGATATCCTGGATCGCAAACGGAGCAGCGTCCTGGCCCGAGAAGAAGCCTACGCTGCCTTTTGCCGTCTCGCCAAATCTCATTACATCGAAGATCGCATCCGCACCCGTGTCATTGACCTTGTGAGCGCTTTTGCCAAGAGTATCAAGTTTGAAAGCAGCGTGCGAGAGACAACTCTCGCGCTTCGCGCATTGAGTCTTCTTACCATCACTGCCTTTGA